CGATCTCGGCTCACCGCAACCTCCGCCTCCTGGGTTCAGGCAATTCTCCTGCCTCAGCCTCCTGAGTAGCTGGGATTACAGGCATGCACCACCATGCCCAGCTGATTTTTTGTATTTTTAGTAGAGACGGGGTTTCACCATGTAGACCAGGATGGTCTCGATCTCTTGACCTCGTGATCCACCCGCCTCGGCCTCCCACAGTGCTGGGATTACAGGCGTGAGCCACCGCGCCCGGCCTCACATTACATTTTTTAAAAATCTTTTTTAGACAGGGTCTGGCTCTGTTGCCCAGGCTGGAGTGCCGTGGTACAATCACAGCTAGCTCACGGCAGCCTCAACCACCCAGGCTCAAGCAATCCTCCCACCTCAGCCTCCTCTAGTAGGCGGGACTACAGGTACATGCTACCATGCTCGGCTAATTTTTGTATTTTTTATAAAGATGGGGTTTTACCTTGTTGCCCAGGCTCACATAACTATTTAAGTAGCTACCTGCCATGGATTTTAATCTTCTGTAGTAAGCCTGGTCTCTTGAATTGCCCATGCAGCTGTGCGTCCCTGCAGTGCTTGAGGGCCCACTGGACTAGAGCTGTGTGAAATTCTTACAAGTGTTCAATTGTGTTCTTGGACCAGTTTTTAGCTATAACACGGATTCCCGCCAGACATGCGCCAACAACAGACACCAGTGCTCGGTGCACGCAGAGTGCAGGGACTACGCCACGGGCTTCTGCTGCAGCTGTGTCGCTGGCTATATGGGCAATGGAAGGCAATGTGTTGCGGAAGGTAATTTGTTTTTCTATGTCCATTTCATGCGGGAGAAGGAGGAGTGGAGTTTTTGTTTTGGTGCTGCTTTTCCATGTTGCCTTTACCCACGTCTCCGGAGGTGTGGTGTGTTTTTCTTACGGCAGCGATGCGTGGTGTCTCTTTCCCCATTCTTCCTCCTATTCTCTGCAGGCATCCCTTGGGGAGGCCCATTTCTCTAATATGGCAAAGTCTTTCTTTCCTGTGCTGTTTCTCCATCTCGGGGGACAGCCCATCTTCACAACTACCCGGAGTGTGGCCGCAAAGGCCTTTGTGTTAAAATTATGCCCCTCACTTTCCTCCGTTTCTTTGAAGTCTCTTTCATGTCTTTTTTTCTTAGAGTCTCTCTAATTTTATGTGGTGTTGCTCACAGACCTATCATTGTTTTTGACACAGAGTCTCACTCTGTTCCCAGGCTGGAGTATAGTGGCGTGACCTTGGCTCACTGCAACCTTCATCTCTCAGGTTCAAGTGATTCTCCTGCTTCAGCCTCCCAGGTAGCTGGGGTTACAAGCATGCACCACCACACAAAAAAAATAATTTTTGTATTTTTAGTAGAGATGGGGTTTCACTATGTTGGCCAGACTGGTCTCGAACTCCTGACCTCAGGTGGTCTGCCTGCCTCGGCCTCCCAAAGTGCTGGAGTTACAGATATGAGCCACCATGCCTGGCCAAACCTATAATAATGATTGTCAAGCCCCAGCAGGGCCACAGAAGGCTGGCAAAGTCTGTGGCAGGTAAAGTTTATTTCGTCATTCTCTCCCTCCTGTGTCTCTTTCCTGGTGCTCCTGAAGTCATAGCATGGTTATGATTGAGCATCAGGGGTGTGCCACTGTGAATGCTGGGGTGCCAATCCCATTGTGTGGCCAACACCAAAATGGATTCGGTGACGGGCCAACGTCCATTCTAAATTCTGCCCTCAAAAGGATCAACTGATTTGGATGCTTGCAGATGGTCAGGAGAATCCTTTCTGTGCAAGTCTGGGGATCCTGGTAACATTCATTCAGAAATTCCAGAATTAAAGTAAAAATGGTGAAAACCCCACCATGTTAAATGTTTGTCTCTTCAGATGCTGTCTTAGTCACTTCTCTGTTGCTTATAACAGAATTCCTGAAACTGAGTAATTCATAAAGAAAAAGAATTTATTTCTTATAGTTTTATGGAGGCTGAGAAGTCCGAGATCAAGGAGCTGTATCTGGTGATGGGCTTCTTTCTGATAGGGCCTCTCTGCAGAGGTGGCACAGGGGGCTGGGCATGCTAGCTCAGGTCTCTCTTCCTCTTCCTGTAAAGCCATCAGTCTCGGGGCCAGGCACGGTGGATCTCACCTGTAATCCCAGCAACTTTGGGAGGCTGAGACAGGCGGATCATGAGGTCAAGAGATTGAGACCAGCCTGGCCAACATGGTGAAAACCCGTCTCTATTAAAAATACAAAAATTAGCTGGGTGTGGTGGCACACGCCTGTAGTCTCAGCTATTTGGGAGGCTGAGGCAGGAGAATCACTTGAACCTGGAGATGGACGTTGCAATGAGCTGAGATTGCGCCACTGCACTCCAGCCTGGTGACAGAGCAAGACTCCGTCTTAAAAAAATAAAAAAAACCATCAGTTCCATTCCTGTATAACCTATTAATCCATTAATCCATGACCGGATTAATTCGTTCTTCAGGGCAGAGCCCTCATGACCCAATCACCTCTTAAAGGCCCCATTTCCAAATGCTACCACATTGGGAATTAAGTTTCAATATGAGTTTTGGAAGGGACATTCAAGCCATAGCAGATGCCAACAAATTGTCTCACTTGTCATGGGTCATTTTCCTTGTGTGTGGTTTTTTTTTTTTTTTTTTTTTTTTGAGACGGAGTTTCCCTCTTGTTACCCAGGCTGGAGTGCAATGGCGCGATCTCGGCTC